TGCACAGACATAATAAACAGACAAAACACGTTAGACGTAGTAATGCTTTTTTTTTTTTAGGTTAAACTATACTTGAGAAATAAAGAGTATGAAGGAGATTTGGCAGATAGGACTTTGAGTACTAGCACTCCGGGAGCTCACTATGAAGGGCTGTTAGTAAACAAAAGATACCTTGAGACAGGGTGAAATCTGCCTAGTGGAACTTCTGTGGGTTTTGGCTGGGAATTGAGCCCAACACCCTGGGCTTGCTTAAACTCCACCCCCAACTTCTAATAGAGTAAGAGACAGGAATTATTCCAACTGACTTTAGCTAAGAGTTTTCTAGAACTGTAAAATATGAGTTTATATGTTGAAATGCGTCAGTTTACAAATGGAACAAATTAAAACAAATTCCCATGGTGTGACAATACTACATGGCCATAAGGACATTTCAAGAGGAAAAGCCTGCAAGGAAAAAGGATTAGACTAATGACTTGAGAACAGCAACAGTAAATTCCAGAAGGATCAGATGTCCTAATTTTTGGCATTTAAAAAAAATTTTTAAGTTTCATTTCATATTCCCACCACAGTTCTCCCTCCCACACCTCCTCCATCACCCCCTCACTCCCCCGAAGCCCACCCCCAGTCCATTCCTCATCATGGGCAAGGGCTCCCTTGAAGAGTCAATGTAGTCTGGTATAATAGGTTGGGGCAGGGCCAGGTCCCTCTCCCATGCATTAAGACTGAGCTTGGCATCTCACCATAGGGAATGGGCTCCAACAAGCTAGCTCATGTACCAGGTTTGTAATGTGGTCCTACTGCCAGGGGCCCCCTCAGATAGTCCAAGCTTCACAGCTGTCTCCCACACAGGGAGGACCTATTTCAGTCCTCTGGAGTCTCCACAGTTGAGGGTCTAGAGTTTATGAGTCTCCATGAGCTTGGTTCAGCCGTGTCTGTAGATTTCTCCATGATCTTGACCTCCCTGCTCATATGATCCCTCCTCCCTCTCTTCTGCTGGATTCCTGGAGCTTGGCCTGGTTCTTGGTTGTGCATCTCTGTCTCTGCTTCCATCAATTACTGGACGAAGGCTTTATGATGATAGTTGGCATATTCGCCAACCTGAGTACAGGGATAAGCTAGTTTGGGTATCCTTTCCACTATTGTTAGGATCTTAGCTATCCTATTTTTTAAGTTACCGTAATGTAAGTGAGAACAAAAGATTTGATGAAGCCCAATGTCCAACCATAACCAAACTCTTAGAAAAGCCAGGAATATTCTTAGTAAGCCATAAATAAAAACAGTTCTTTAGCTTGTTTAAGACTGCTGACTTGAAAACTGCAGCAAGCATTTCTCATGGTGAAATACTTGGCGTATTTCCTTAAGCATTAAGAGAAGATGAATATAGTATTATCTTCAACATTTTTATCCAGTACCCAAGATAACATGATGGGTATAGTAAAAGCATCCAAAAGAAAGTCATGTAAATTGCTAGAATAAACAGTGTAATAAAGTTCCTGTGCGCTTAGATCGATGACATTCGTGTCCTTTTGCAACCACGAGTCAGTTAAATAACAGACATACAATCCTGTGGAGGAAAGAATTGATGTATTGATGGTGTCAGAGTGAAGCCATCCTTATGCCTGTATGGAAGAGAAGGTTCACTGTTAGGAAATTGTGCTCCCAACAATCTACATGTGCATGGTCAGAATCCTGCAAGCTAATAATGAGCTTGACAAGTGACTCTCAAGTTGGCATGGAAATAGAAAGTTCCAATAATAGCCAAGGAACATAGGAAGGAAGTATATATCTGTGAGGGAAGATACTGTCTGTTGTGTAACTGCATTTCTTATAACCGTGTGACTTCAGGGAGACTGTGAAACTATAGAAGCAGAGACTTGTGGGGCTTAGTGTGTGTGAAAAGCACCATTTTAAATGTAGAAATGGATGGGCATGCCAACAAAGTTTAAGATGAACACTTTCCACATTGTTTTATTAAAAAAGAAAAATCTGGATATGTGCCCAAAACACTGTAAGCTACTGTGAAAGTTAAAAGCCATCAACTGGGAACATGTTTGACAAAATTGATAAGATGGACTAGTACGCAGAGACTGCAAATTCGAAAGGAAAAGAATCCAGCCCAGATAGGCAAAGGATTGGATAGGCATGCATGCAGGGAATGAGTGATTCCATTATCTAGTTAACACTTGGGGAGATGCTGACATCTTTACTAGTCAGGGAAGTCAAACTTGAAATTAGACTCGGTTACCATTTTATACTTACTTAAAAAAATTCTCTGAAGTTTTCAGGAAAGTTGACATATTTCAGAGGTTTAAAATACTTTTTACTTCTTAAATAGACCATTGCAAGAGATAACTAATTTTCCCAGTGTTATCAGAGGACCACAGTAAAGGTCTGTTTTCTTTTTTTTTAAATTTAATTAATTTTTTTCATTTTACATTCCAACCCCAGTTCCCCTTCCCCCCTTCTCCCACCTCCCCTCATCCCCCTTCCCCCCACTCTTCAAAGGGGATAGTTGTGATCCTCTGGAAATATAGGTGAACACTCAAACAGCCATCTTGCCCATGCAACGCCTGTTGGCTTTGCCACAGCTGCAGTCGGCCGACTTCCTGCCAGTCTCAGAGGAACAGAGGCCAGGAAGAACCAAAAAGACTATTGGTTCATGAAGCTTATTTTTTTCTTTTTAATAACCTCTTTTCATATTGAGGCAATGAAAAGGAACTGAATTTCATTAAGAATTTAAGACAAAAATGAAAAGAGTTTCATAAGATTCCAGGGAAGCTTTTCATTAAGTAGATGAAATCAGAAGCGGTTGCCATAGCTGCCTGGCATTGGGCTGTCTTCCATTCACCTTCCTCTTCTGAAATCCTGAGTCCTTCACCCTGTGCTCTACATAGAACTCCAAGGGCTGCATCACTCAGTTTTCTGGATACTCGAAAACGCAGGGGCCTTAGCAAAGACTTAGAAGCTCAAGACATGGTCAGTTTGAATCCTAACAGGGCCTCTTCTACGGAAGGACTAAAGACCCCCTATAGGAAGAGTTCTAGTCTGTTCTGTTATTTTACATTACACTTGACTTATGTACTTCTGAAAAGTCTTGGAAGCATTGATTCTGTAGTCAAAAATTTTGGACAGAGCTATAAGAATCCAATCAAAAGATTAGATGCCTTAGAAAGTGAAGTAATGAAGAAATCATTACTATCACCAAAAAGTGAGTCACACACACACTTTTTTTAAATTCCAAATGATGTAAAATTAATAGTATGTGTGTAAGGTTTCCACTTTGTAAACTGTTACATAATTAATTCTGAAAGCCATAAATCTGATAAGTAATCATACCTAGTGTTTGGCAATTATCAACACAAATTGTTTTTATTGTTTCCAGCAATGATTTTGCTTGTAGAGACTGTGTGAATTAAAAACCGATTCCATTTTTTAAGAATGTGGTTAAAAACATCTAAACTTCTCTAGGCTTTTCTCTTAGTTCAGTTAACTGTAAGTCTATTAGATATTAATTGCATTTAACTTCATCTGGAAAAAAATTCTGAATTCCATTTGTAGAACTGCCCAAACTAAATATTTTCAAGCTTTGAAACCATATTAATAAATTTTACATATAATAAATAATGACATATTATAAACTACACTTACCAGATAGACCATACTATCTTAAGTCAAGTCTAATACTATTTGTAAATCTAAAAATTCTAATGACAAGTGCAAATGAATTCATTATACATTCTGTGTAAGACTCCTCAATACCTTTTGTGTCACTAAGGAGTGTCCTCTCTGAAGCTCTAATTAGCCCTAATTGCACCGTTCCTCCCTGGCCTTCCTTCCCTCTGCTGGGATTGCTGCAGTTTACCTCCTCATCTGGTCTTTTAGACCTAATGTTGATATCCCCCTTCCCATATCCTCTCTCCTCCGGCTTTAGACGAAAGGCCAGAAGTGTTCCAATATAGAGCCACGCTGAGATGTGTGGGTAGGCTACGTGGAGGTCAAGAACAGTAGACAAATCAAACTGGTGAGTGGCCCATCCAGGTGATCTATCAGTTAGTGGTAGAAAGGCCCACAAAGGGCCGAACAGTCCCAGACTACGGAACAACTATGCCACGAAGATTGGAAATGATGTCAGAGCAGAGGCTCAAGAAACAGGATGCAAACCCAGTGAGGTTTGGGAGATACGATGGGGGCTTGGTTTTGAGCAGCAGAGCAGTAATGCAAGAACTGTGATGTGTGCTGAACTGTTTAGACATACACATAGCAGAATATGAAGTTCCCGTGATCTTACAGGACCCAGAGGAGGCAGCGGGTAAGACAGTGTCAGATCTGTGGCTCAGAATCTTATGGGAAGGGAATAATACCCCAGTGTCCAAGACTCTTGGTTCATATGCCTTCTGCCTCACGCCAACCTTCTGCTATTAGAGGTTTGTTCTCAAGCCTGGGCGTGGGTGTAGGAGTGTGATGAGGGCATCCATCCACAAAGCTTAACACTGTGTGGCCCTGAATTCAGATGGTGCATGCTGATCTGGTTTATTGGGGACCTTGGAGCACACAGATGTGACTTTACACCAGCAGAGCACAGTCAATCACTGGCTGAAGATCCTTCCTGTGGGATTGCTGCAGTCGGTCAAAAGTTCTAAATATAACGTGTAGAAGGAAACTGTTCCAAGCCATGGTACTTACAGGGTCTTTGTAGTTAAAGACTGTCTCTGTCACACCCCAGATTGTTATGCCAACAACATATTTATAAAATAGGTGCAGGAAGGAAACTCAAAACCAGACAATATTTCATTCTGGAATTTGTGTTGGAAAATTAGGAAAACCTCCTTATTCCACTTCTGTTTTAAATTTGTGATTGCCAACTTGGAGTAGGCTAAAATGTTGCCGTTTTAGTTAAGAAAAATTAGATGTGCCAGTTATACAATAAGTAAGAAATACGAGGTACACAAAATCCACTTATGAAAACAGATGATTTCATCACCATCTGCAAAATGTGCATAGATGGAATATTGCTAATAACAAATAAGCTTAGTGATTAAAGATTACACAAACAAGGACTTTCCACATACCTTGAATTTATACTTATGCTAAAATTACATATGCTTTATGTTTCATAAACACAGTTTCTCCTCAGTTGGTTGTAATTAGTAAAGTGTGCATGTTAACAGATACTTAAGAACCAAAGAAAGCACTAGGTTAACCACCAGACTCCATCTCTCTTCTTAGGTTCTTACCAAGCCTCGCAAGGTCGGCGCTGGAGAAGAATCTGGCAGATGCTGCAATAGAAATGAATACTAATGACAGCCTGGAGCCAGAGCTGGAGAGCTACAAGTGTAAGTACTTGACTTGGCTATTTCCTGGGTGACATAACAATGATCAAACATTTTATGCTACTAGTTTCAATAAAACCCATTTTGTTTTGTGTATTACACTGAAGACGTGAGTCTATTGCTTTCCTTTAAAAACAGTCTAAAAGCCATTTTACAACTTAGCTTTTGATATCACTTCTTTCAGTGAATACTCCCCGCCAAGAGTCAGTTGAACACTAAGTACTAGAGGTTTTAAGGGCTTTTGTTGTAAATCAGCTTGTCTAATTTTTGACAAATATGCTTTTCCAAATGTGTTTCACCATACAGTTTAGAATTCTGTTTTCTTTGTACAGCATTTGTATTTTGAGGGCTACTAAGATTCCCACGGGGCATTCAGGGAGCATTTCTAGGGAGACAGACGAGTGAGGGCCGGCTGTATGCCTCCCCTTGCACCCCTCCAGTCACACAATGCCACCCTCACCTCTCTTCTGCATAGCCAGAGGAGAAGCCTGAAGTGGGGAGGATCGTGCACTCTCAAAGTTCCTGTTCTGTAGTGAGAGCACAGGGAAATTTCCATTACTAATGTACCTGTCTTGTCAAGGCACAAGTGTGACTGATCTCCAACAGGACCGTATGGCTGTGGTTGTGACTGGTGTTGTAACTGTGGCTACACTGAACCAAGAATTTCGTATTAAGGAAACCGAATGACTTTTTTTTATAATAAAATTATAAATCTGATGCTGATGGAGCTGAGCAGATACGCAGAGACCACCCAAAGAGACAGAATAACCATGGGACTTGTAGAAATTAATGTTACTTGATTGGAGCTGGGAACATACCCAGAGAAAGGCTTCGACATCAGGATGGGAGATTGCTCTGTCTGGGAAAGGTCAGCGCCAGCAGTGTCCATCAACAGCTTCCTATAGGGGATACAGGACCAAAATGAGAAGACTGTTCACAGTTTTCATTCATCTAGAAAGCTACTGACCTTGTGACGAATGCATTTAAGTCCCTCTCCTTGTCACGATCCCAGGCTCACAGAACAACCTTCTCACAGGGCCTAGCTCTCCCGCAGGTCTCTCTCCAAGTAACATGATGATGGCAGTCAGTGTGGCATAGTCATATGAAAACTCCTTCTTACTGCAATGCCATATTTTCCAGTCTAGCTTTTTATCAGAATACATGTTTATGCTTTCCTGAAATTATATTTACCCTCAGTCATGATGGCAAAACCAGGCTTTGAGCCTACATAATTAATAGCCTTGACAGACTTCCTCTAACAGTAGCAGCCTATGAAACTTCTTGAAAAACAGCTAGTCCGCTTTCTCCCGTGTGTCCCCTTTGTAGTTGAAATGTTATCACTAAACACTGGTTGTGTGAACAAAATGATCCTAAAGGCCCCTATCTCCCGAATAACCACGTTCTGTGCACTGAACCCTGATGGTGTTGTTGAACCTGCTGTTGTGTGTGTTATATCAGCAAATAAATGTTTAAGTCAGCTCACTGCCACATTCTGACTCTGCTCCTTTGTGGACTTCTGTTGGGTCTACAATATAAATTGGAGAGCTACAGTGTTTTAGTTTATTCTTTAGATGTTTAATTAAAATCCTGAAGGACCGCAGTTACAGAAACTGCAGTGTGTGCTGGCCAGACTAGGCCTGTTTAGATATTTGCAAGACGTTGCTGTGACTAATCCTCTGTCCTGTACAAAATGTTCAGGTGAGATAGTGTCCGGGTCTCTGAGGATTGGCGCTGTCAGTGCACCAGTGTACAATGCCCAGGAGAAGATGAAAGTGCCTGATGTTCTCTTCTATGACAACGTTCAGGTGAGGGCATTGCTTCGTGATCTTGGACTAATCACGTCATAGTCGTCAACTCTGATCCAAATCACACTGGTGTGTAATTGTACTCATGATGTCCTAAACTCAGTTCAGGAGAGGCAAAATGAAGGGCTAAGCTACTTTTAATTACAGTGATAATGAGGTTTGAAATTCTCTCCGATGGTTAAAAATAGAGGAGTTGCTGCTATGGATTTAAGTATGTGCGTGTTATATGCACACATTTCATGACTGTGCTTGAGGCCAGTAAGATAGCTTATTGAATTAAAACAGACAGACCTACTGGCTGTCACTCTGGCTTCTAGTTAAGTCTGTAGCCTACAGAAGGCACATCCTACATGCTTTCCCCTTCTTCCTTCCCCTTTGATGCATTTTCCTAGGCTGGCCCTGCTCTCTGCTTTTCACTTGGTTTGGAGGATGGACTATGACAGAGACACTGCCCTCACAACCTAAACAGTACTGTGCACTGATTCCCAGACACAGAAAAAAGTTTGAACTTAAAAGCTTTATTGCAGTGAGAGTCATTTCTATAAGATTTGTTTTCAGTAAACATTTCTGAGGATATTTCTTTTTGTTTCTTCCAGTTATATCTTTCTTTTATAATAAAAGTATACTTATTTTTTGTAACTCTTATTCGCTAATCTGCATGTAAATGATTATATTTAGAAATTGTGTTAGAATTTGCTTTATCTTTCTAAGGAGTTAGCAAAATTATAGTACAGTTTCTTTCACTATATTTATTTATTGCTCTATGAGTATCCTAATTTACATCCCTTAAGTAAGATTAATAGTATAAAGGTATCCAGGCAAGTTTTTCTTTCTTAATAAAAATATTTTGATTTAAACACTTATATGTCAAGGCTATAATTATTTTTTTGCATAGCAAAAGGCTTACCAGTGTTTTTGTTTTGTTTCATTCTGTAGTCATTTAAGTTCAGTCAGTTAATTTTAGTCATTTAATTTTAGTCAGTTAACTATAGTCAGTTAACTATACTCAGTTAACTATAGTTAGTTAACTTCAGTCAGTTAACTATACTCAGTTAACTGTAGTCAGTTAACTTCAGTCAGTTAATTATAATCAGTTAACTTCAGTCAGTTAACTACAGTCAGTTAACTTTAGTCAGTTAACTTCAGTCGGTTAACTATACTCAGTTAACTATAGTCAGTTAACTTTAGTCGGTTAACTATACTCAGTTAACTATAGTCAGTTAACTTCAGTCAGTTAACTATACTCAGTTAACTATAGTCAGTTAACTTTAGTCACTTAACTTCAGTCAGTTAACTTTAGTCAGTTAACTATAGTCAGTTAACTTTAGTCGGTTAACTATAGTCAGTTAACTTCAGTCGGTTAACTATACTCAGTTAACTATAGTCAGTTAACTTTAGTCGGTTAACTATACTCAGTTAACTATAGTCAGTTAACTATACTCAGTTAACTTTAGTCAGTTAACTATAGTCAGTTAACTTCAGTCAGTTAACTTTAGTCGGTTAACTATAATCAGTTAACTTCAGTCAGTTAACTATACTCGGTTAACTTCAGTCAGTTAATTTCAGTCAGTTAACTTCAGTCACTTAACTTTAGTCAATTAACTTTAGTCAGTTAACTATAGTCAGTTAACTTTCTCCTTAGGACCATTGCATAACTGATATATACGAAGCAGCAAAAAATCAAGTTGTATAGATAGAATGAAAACACTCTTATCTATGATGTAAAAATGAAAACCTTTATATTAAGAGGAATAATGGTGGGCTGAAGAGATGACTCTGCACTTAAGAGCACTGGCTGCTCTTCTGGAGGACCTGGGTTCAATTCCCAGCACCCACATTGTAGCTCACAACTGTCTGTAACTCCAGTTCCAGGGGATCTGACACCTTCACACCAGTGCACATACATTTAAATATTTTTAAAAAGGTTCAATAGCATTTCTAAGTGCTGTCTGTCCACATTTCACATTCTGTCCACAAAGCAGAAAGGAAAAAAAAACTGAAATTGCTATATATAACAATGAAAAAACTCCAAAATAGTGAAGGTTGTAAAAACTTCACAGCATATAAGGACGTAGGAAGTTCAGTAGGAAGGAAGACCATTGTGTCCTTGAACAATGTCTGTTGCCATGGTATTGGTTACACAGACACTGACAACTTCAGATCTGCAGTGAACTTTCCACGAGTGCCTTGAGGGACTTTGTGTAACTATCCCTAACCCCCACCCCCAAAGCATAATGAGTCAACCATTAATAAGGATTCTAGTTGTTACAGTTCTGGGGATGTGACTTGATGCAGTTTGCTTCTGTAGGAGGCTTCATTTATGCTCTGTGTCATCTTACAAGCAGGAATTTTCAGTGTTACAGACGCAGGGTCTATCTATTCAATCCATCTTTTCTGTGATGTCTTGTTGTCCCCTTACTGCATTGAAAATGGTCTTTGAAATGTTTTCCCCTGGTCTTTTATCTGCTGTCTCCATTGATGTTTCTAGAACATTGTAAATAAGTGTTGAGGGGATTAAAAGGGATGGATAAGATTTTGAGCATCCATTCTAAGAAGTATTGTTTCATTAAATCCTTTATTATGAAATATGGCCCTTGGAGCAGTAAGTAGGAGAAACTGGAGAACAACAGATTAATAGTCTTTTAATAAGCCAAAGGAGCTTTAGACCTGAAAAATTAAATACCACAAGTCAGGCTTGTCCCTAAGGTATTGGAGCACAGAGATGAAAAGGTATATATACAAGCAGATGCATCTCCACAACTCAATTACTTTGTCTAATGGAAAATACAGGCTAGTATGTACATATAGTTACCTTACTACATAGTGCGAATGGAGGGACATCCTGGTTACTATGGTAACATCGATGAGCCGATGGTCACTGACTGGAAAGGTCTCAGAAAACTGGTTAACTAGGCAAAGTTGGGTACGTTGGTCAGGCTGAAGTGGGCGTTTGCAGAACCGTGGTTGAATGAGAGGGACAGTCTCTTAGGAAGCCTTGATGTCAACACGCAGACCCTTGGTTTCCAGGTGAAGAGTGTCAGGTGATGAGCCTTGTACATGAGGCGTGGCAATGCCCAGGCTTCGCTAGTGACAGAATTAGGATCCCTGCCAAGGAACCCAGCGACAGGTTTTCAGCACGTTCGTACTTTCACTGCCTTAGTCTCTTGTGTCGTCCAAGAATTAGAAGCCAGGCACAGATGGTAGGGCAGCGGCCATTGAAACAGTCCAGGCCACAGTTAAGAATGAAATAAGGCAGTGGTGGCGGGGACAGAAGCAGGGGACACCTTACAGCACTCTTTAGGTGGTAGAAATCGGGAACTTTTTTTCCATACTCTCTCAGGGAACACATCACATGATGGAAAGAGAGAACAGGAAATCACTCCCGACTGTGTCCACACTGGAAGGAGTAGGTTGTGGGGGGGGGATTTGAGGTCAGGCCTGCACGGGAGCATGAGGCGTAAACACTGCTCCCGAAGCATTAAGACTCATCTAAGGAGCTTTGAAAAATGAGTAGCAAGCCTTTGAACAAAGAAGCAGTCGTGCTGTGGAGAACACATTTGCCCCAGAGAAATGGAAGTTTCAGAAGCTAAATTGGCCAGTCAAAATCTAGGTCAGAGATGATAAATGCCCTGAATCCCAACTGTGCAAAAAGAAAAATATTTCTCTCTGTGTCTGTCTGTCTGTCTGTCTGTCTCTGTGTGTTTGTGTGAGACTTGGTTTTAATGATATTTCCATTAAGAGAAAAGCAAGATGGCAGAGTGACCAGGTGATGTCACAGTTTGAGGAAGAGCAGGGTCCTTATTAACGGGGTGACCAGGTGATGTCACAGTTTGAGGAAGAGCAGGGTCCTTATTAACGGGGTGACCAGGTGATGTCACAGTTTGAGGAAGAGCAGGGTCCTTATTAACGGGGTGACCAGGTGATGTCACAGTTTGAGGAAGAGCAGGGTCCTTATTAACGGGGTGACCAGGTGATGTCACAGTTTGAGGAAGAGCAGGGTCCTTATTAACGGGGTGACCAGGTGATGTCACAGTTTGAGGAAGAGCAGGGTCCTTATTAACGGGGTGACCAGGTGATGTCACAGTTTGAGGAAGAGCAGGGTCCTTATTAACGGGGTGACCAGGTGATGTCACAGTTTGAGGAGGAGCAGGGTCCTTATTAACGGGGCGGGAAGGTTAAGGAGGGAGAAGAAGGCTGAAGATGAGGAAGCACGGGGTCAACTTTTGGATGAGTTGAGTTTAGGGAAATGGATAACAGTCCTCACGGACAAGGCCTGCAGACAGCCTGCTCTCAGTTACAGTTGCCTACAGCGGACAAGTCTGGTGTTTTGTTTGTACATTTTGTGAGTTCATGCGTGGGGGGGGCATATTGTGCCATTCACACAAAAAACAAAGAAGGTAACTTGGACTCAGTTCTTTCTATCATGTGGGTCCTGGGACTGAACTTGGGTCCTCGGACTTGTAGGGCAGAGCCTATACCTGCTGAGCTGTCTCCCCGGCCCTGAAAAAATCGATAAGGAAAGTTCTCTCTCTCTCTCTCTCTCTCTCTCTCTCTCTCTCTCTCTCTCTCTCTCTCTCTCTCTCTCTCTCTCTCTCTCTCTCTCCCTCTCTCCCTCTCTCCCTCCCTCCCTCCCTCCCTCCCTCCCTCTCTCTCTCTCTCTCTCTCTCTCACACACACACACATACACACACACAATCTTCGGTTAAGAAGATGTCCTTGAAAGGGAGAGATGCTGAGCTCTGTGAGCGCCAGCCTGCAACTTGCTCCCATGCCTAACCTGGCCCTCAGGCAGGTCCTGTGTCCATATAAGCACTAACCCACTCTGTCATATCCTGGGCATCCAAAAGAAAGCAGCTAGGAAGACGGTGGGAAAGAACAAAAGGCAGAGCTGTGGGAAGATGGGCCAAAGGGAGAACCTGCCTGTGGTAACGCAAAGACTCGTTTGCGTTAGCAGTGACCTTGGCCTTAGCTGATGGCCCCAGTCGGTAGACAAATATGGTGACAGTCTGTAGCAGAAGCAGTGAGAGCAGTAAGAAAACTTAGAAGACACAGAACAATGATGGCGTTTCAGTGTCACCTGGCCATGCATGTGATTCTGGGCATGTTTTCTCCTTTGCTTCAGGAAAAAACAGTGTCTTGAAATTGCCACCGAATTTTCACTTAGCTAAAAGGAAGCAGTCTCCAGACCATATCAGCAGCAAGACCCAGTGTGAGTGATGCCTAGGTCTTCCTCCTCCAGGGTGGCCACACCTTTTTATTTTTAGCATGCTCTTTATCTATATGTTAACCCAGTGTCTCTTTTTATTTATTTTTCAATGTGACAAAAAAGCAGTAAATGAATATACTCTTTTTAAAAAACTTAAACCTTTTTAAGTTTTTTGTTCCTCAGTGTATCCACTTTAAGAAAACTAAAGTTACCAGTATATTCTTTTTTATAGTTCATTTATTTTTATTTAAGTTAGAAACAATCTTGTTTCACATGTGAATCCCAGCTCCCTCTCCGTCCCCTCCTCCCCCCACCCTCCCCACGAGGTCTCCCAGCCCCCCACCCAAACTCCACTCTGATCCCTAGGGAGGATGAGGCTCCCCATGGTAGATCTCCAGTGACTGTCATTTCATCATTATTCTTGAAAGAGGGAAAGATAACTTCCTTTGTTTTCATTTCATTACTGAATTTGACAAGCTTTGAGTGTCAAAAAAAATCAAGAAAAGCAAGTCAGTAAAATTCTAGGAAATATGTGTAGCATGTAAATGTCATAAAAGGTTAAAAATAGAGAGTTTGAATAACCTGAGCACTTTGGGCTGTTATTGATTTGGTCTCAAGAAGAGAGACTCAGGGTTCAGACTCTGCTGGGACGCAGCTCTTCCTGCAGCCCCATGAGCCTTTGTGGCTTACTTAACCGTGTCCTACTTCTTGGCACACAAAAGAGCAGTGCAGTCTCCTCTGTGGGTGCTGTGAGCAGCTCTGACTTTGCCCTTTCATCATTCTGTGTCATGATTCAATGAAAAGTAATGGAAGGTGAAAAGTGCCTTTTTAATTCTAAGACTCTACATTGCTTTGAAGTTAAATGGTTAAGCCAAGTGTGTGAACGAGTATGTCTCTGTTTCTTGTGCCTTCTCTTGGGCTCTTTTCCTCCTGTTTGATATGTACAATTAAGATGCACTAGTTTTTGTTTATCTTAGTATACACTTACCTATATATAGTTTCTATACTATATATACTTATGTATGTATTTTTTATTTTCTTATATAAGAATGTACATAAATATATATGTATATATATATAAATATGCATTCTAAAAAGTCCAAAATTGGGGTATTTGGTTGCTGTTGGTAGCATTTGTTTACTTACATTAGCAAGCATCAACTTAAATATAACATTAAATTATAAGCCAATTCTACAGAATATAAATAAAAATATTTGAATTGAATTATTAAAAATTGAAATATTAGTCAGTAGTTTGCTCTTGCTCAGATAGGCTATTTGAAGTTTTCAATATTGGTGACCTAATTGACTTTTATCCACATCATTAAATATGTTTTAATTACAGCCATGTGTGGTAGCATACACCTTTAATCCCAACACTAGGTTGGCAAAGGCAAGTGGATCTCTGAGTGTGACCCCAGTCTGGTCTACATAATGTTGAGGATAGCCAGGGCTATCTAGAGAGAACCTGTCTCAGCAACAACAATAACAAAAATGTGTTGTAAGTTGTCAGTTGCTTATTTTATCTTAACATGTGTTCTGCATTCTAAGGTAACACCTTTATAGACTCCTTTCTTATTTGACCCAGTCGTATCCTTTTTCTCTAGCACATGATAGTGATGGAAGACATGCTCAAAGACTTCGTCCTCGGAGAACACTTGCTGTTGGTCGGTAACCAGGTGAGTGATGGCTGGGAGCCAAGTACACATGAGTGAATGCTAACTCTTTACCATCCAAAGTGTAATCTATACCATCTATCTGAGCCTTAGCATTATCCAAGGTTAAACATCCCATCCCTCTGCCCATTTACCCCATGAATGTCTGTATCTTCCCAGCTCTGCTGCCCTAATCAAGCTCACCCTCACATGCTACCAGGAGTGCAGAAAGGATTTCAGACTGTAGTTGCACCTCCTGTACGTGCTGAGACCCACCCTCGGCTGGGTTAATGGGCGGGCGTATAAACTATTTCTGCGTCTTTTTGCTGTGGTCAACTCGTCCGTGCTCTCAGACACAGCCTACATCTTCAGCATGCCATGCAGTTTGCCCCTCTGCCCACTGCTCCAGCCAAGGCTTTGGTGTGTCCTTTTTAGCCTGTGCTGACTTGCCCTGACCTTCCTTCAGGTTCTCACCCCTGGTATTTGGTTTATGCCTGTCACGCCCCCTGGGTTCCCTCTCCAGTCCCTGGGAGGGACACTTTGCTGGTCGGAGCTGGCTTCCATTGCATCTCCTCTCTTCTAACCTCTTGTCACATTACTTTCATGGGGCTGAACTTCCCATGTAGTGACCATCCTCCCAATTTGTATGTTCCACAGGAACAAGAACTGTGTTTCTCTGGCTCATTTCTGTCCTGGGTTCCTAACACATTGCTGCTATACAGTAGAGTTGTTATCTGTTTGTGCTTGTGTAAGGAATGGATGAACTCTCAGTATTTAGAGCGTTCTGATAGTTTTCCTCAATTGAATTATCAGATGCAAAATGAATAGCACTTTGTTTTTTACAAGTTGGTCTTAAAGGCAATCAGAAGCTTAGCCTTCTTTTTGTGTTTCTTGTTTTGTACTTACATAAAAATACAGGTTCAATGAATCGCTCCTCAAGCCTACAGTTAAAATTTAATTTTGTTTATTATTTTGTGCATACATGCATCTCAGATCATGTTTGGAGGCCAGGACAACTTTTTATCCCTTCCCCTCAATTTTGAGGCAGAGTCTCTCTTCAGATTCTAGGTTCACTCCCCACAGCTCTGGGCGATTTTCCTTCACTCCTGTCTCACTGTACGGAGCTGGGGTTACAGATGCACACTGCTCCTGTATCAGACTCTTACACGGTTCCCAGCAGCCAAACTCGGGTTGTCAGGCTTAAAAAGCACTTTAGCTGCTGAGCCTCTCAGTGGCTCAAAACTTTAAAAGCATGGATTTAAATGGGCCTATAGTTGAAGGCATAGATCTAGAATTGAGTGGCGGAAGGTCTAGCAGCAACTCTCCCATGAGTGGACTCTGGCTTACTGCTGAGCTTTCTGAGGTCTGACTTGGCAGTGGAAACAGTATGCACTCCACCCGGCTAATGTAAAGATGACTCGTGATAAAGCATGGGAAATACTCCACAGTGCTTAGTGGCAGCTAAAAATAAAACCCATGCATCACATGGAAGTTTTAAAAGCACTTTTGTATTCTCTTGCTTCACTTTTTTCTAAACAAGAATTAAACATAAAATAGATAATTCATGGTTGCTTTCACCATGTGAAATGTCCTACCTGCTTCTCTTGATTGGTAGTCATTTTTCTAGTGAGTCTTTACAGGTTACTAAGGAGTGGCTGACAGGTGGCATGAGTCCTTGATGTTCTCAGCTCATGGAAAAATGATGATTCTGGACTTAATAAATATGCAAAGCCCAGAGCTCTTTTATTTTTAGCATGGAAGTCTGTTCTTACTAGTCTTCAGTTTTTATTTTTTAGAACTTAATACACACATCCTGCATCTGCATCCCTCCCTGCCCTCCCTCCCTCCTCTTCTTCCTACCCTCCTCTTCCTCCCATCCTCCTCTTCCTCCCACCACGCCCTCCCACCCTGAGGTCCTACCCCACACTCAGAAGCCGGTGCTGTCTCATTCTGTATCTCTGGCCGAATTGGAACTTAATATGTAGACGAGGCCAACCTTGAACTCACAGAGATCCACCCCACCACACCTTCTGAATGCTAGAATTGTAGATGTGTGCCACCTAGCCTGGCTCAAGCCCAGAGTTCTTAACAGACTTTTTGACACTTAGTGTGTCCTTTGAAAACTCCTGCTGTCAAGAAAATGGCCCCAGAAACAGATTTGACTGGCAACTCTGCAGCAGACCAGAACGACAAAGCTGGACACAGAGCTGGACAGGGGTGGTTTCTCAGAGACACCAGAGAGCCAAAGGCGGGTCTCTAGTGGTCA